TGTGTGACATGTACATGTTGGATTCTGTTCCAAACAGAACTCATTATAATTGCTAGCTTGTTCTTTCTCCACAACCACATGTTGGGGATAGCACAGCGTGTGTCCACATGTCTTTTGGGCATAGGTCAGAGTCCAAGTTAGCCTGGCAGAAGAGCACCTCACCGCGGTGTGCTGAGTAGAGAGCCCATGCAGGGCCGGCCAAGAGCTGCGGCTGCTCTGCGGGGATGCAGATGTACTTGGACTCTTAGTATAATCTTAAATTGAAGATACGGGAAAATAGTGTGTGGAGCTAGAGCTGCCAGAGAAGGTGGCAGGTGTATGTGGTTCTGCTTCACGTTTATTGATTTCTTTCTTTTTTTCCGGAACTGGGGATTGAACTCAGGCCCTTGCACTTGCCAGGCAAGCACTTATTCTACTGAGCCATCTCCCCGGCCCTCCTGATTTCTTATGATGGCAGCTTCATTTACCTTTGTGAACAGCCACTTGTTCCCACATGCACTTCTCCTGGCTTGGTTAGTACTAACACCACCTCTTCCTGAGGAGTCACGCTGGTTGGAGCTAACCAGTGTCATCATTCAGGGAGCGGCACACGCCCTTATCGGTCAGTAAGAGGCAATGTCTGCCCTTTGCAAGGGAAATCCTTGAGCTTGTTGGTGCTGGCTTGGAGCAGCGGGTGTAAACGTGGCTCTTCAAGCAGCCCCTTTGCTACCAGGAAGCGTGCGCTGAGTGTGGAGCCAGGGTGGGGCAAGCACAGGGGCAGGCAGGGAGGACCAGCTACGTCCAAGTCCAGAACAATCTAGAAGTTTCAGTCATGTGATCCAGTGGAGTCTTTCCTCTGAGCTTACTTGCAATATGTTTATGCCCCTTCCTTCTTTTCCTTCCTCCTTTTATTAAAATAATCCTATAAGAAGATTCCATATATTTATGTAGTATGATATTCTTTTTTTCTCTCTCCTTCCTTTTTTCTGAAAGAATGCTAATGATTAAAGTATCAGTAAATTCATAGATATCCTGGAGCTAAGAAGCACTTAATTTGGAAAAATAAACCTTAAAATGTTATTTATGTAAATAGAAATTCTCTGTTAAGTTACTGCATCCAGGTCTGGGACAATAGCACTTGGCTTTAAAATTTAGTTCTCCAAGTATGTTGTGTGCATCTACAAATCTGCTAATAAGAAATCATTCATCTGTGCCACTGACTCTAAGGTCAATACACGTGCTTGCTGTTCATAGAATAGGGTTCAGTTATGCTACCTACTGCCAGGGAACCTGACCCAGGGCACTGCCTGTACTCCATGTGTTGTAGGAATTTAGGGCGCATACTCAAAAGATGTTTCTCGGCTGAGAACAACCCATGAGAGCTCATCAAGAAATACCCAACGGAGCTTACAACTTAGTGTAGCAGTTTTCTCTCTCTAACAGGCAAATGTTTTCTCCATAGAATTCTATTGTCATAAGAAAGTGAGCATTTCACATTCCTTCTACTTGTTGGTCTTCAGGGCTTGACCTGTAGCAGGTGGGAATCTCCATCTGCTCTTGCACAGCTCAGCCCTGGCAAGCTGATGGCAAAACGCTGCTTTGATTTAACCACATGGATGCTTGATTCAAAGATGCTGATAGCTGAAAATTTTCTAAATTTGGAATGATCAATGATTTATCTTAAAAAGGGTGCTATTGAACTTTTCAGAAAATTTTTTACTCAACTTTGAAAAAATCAATTGCATAGTTCTCCAGTGAGAAAGGAATGTAAATATAGTTCAGCTCCTAACCATCATTTAAACATTTTCTTATGTATTTGGTACAGGGTCCCACTATGCGGCTTGGACTCATAGCGATCCTCCTGTTTCAGCCTCCCCAGCGCTGGGCTTATAGGCGAGTGCCACCATGCCTGGTATCAGTGGCCAGCTCAGCGTGCCCAGGCTTCTAGGGCCAGCACAGCATGTGGTGCCAGGATTTGAATCTGGGTCCCTGTGCCTGCTAAGCAGGCTCTTAGTCCACTCAGCTGTCTTGTGGGCCCCTAACCATTTTTTTTTTGATGATGAAAATATTTGCAGAAATACAAAATGGGAATTGCAAGAAATTGGTTGGTAGTTCCAGCTGTTCTGGCACGTTAGGGTGAGAACGGTGTGAGGAGTTTGTCCTCAGCTCATTGACCCTCCCGCATCTCCCCTGGGATCTCTTTCCATGGCTACACATGGCCCATGGGGAGCTGGGAACTGCACATCTTTTTTTTTTTTTTTTTTTGCAGAACTGGGGATTGAACTCAGACCCTTGCGTTTGCCAGGGAAGTGCTTACTCTACTGAGCCATCTCCCAGGCCCACATCTTTCTTTTTGTTTGTGGATTATTTATTTTTATTGATGTTGATTTCTTTACTGTCCTACCATATAGGTTCTTCGGGGCAAGGATAATGTAATATATCAATTGGACTAGGCCTATGAATAGTGGTGAAAAAGGATGATTTCATACTTTTTTTTGACAGAGAGGAAAGGGATAATCAAGCCCTCGCAGTATAGAGTGGGGCAGGAGAGTCTGGAATGGTTCCTCTCACGCCTAGCAAGAGCCCTTCTTGCTGTGATCCTCCTTGATTTTGAAGTGCACTGTGTAAATGTGCTGAGTAGGGTCTGGGCTCACCACAGCGCTTGCTCGGCCTTCTCGGACTAACCGCCACACACAGGCCAGGCCGATGCCCACAACACCCGGGGATGTAGCCACTGCTCCCCAGTATTTGGTAGGTACAGTATGAGTAAAATTTTAATGCAAACTTTTTAAGTGATCTGAAGAATGTGGAAATCAAAAAAGTCAGCGCTTTGCTAGTAACAGAAGCTCCTTACAGAAAAATTTGCCTTTGCATGCTCATTACTATGAATATTTCTCAGAACTTTCTGTGACGTACTATCACATTGTTCATGACACTGAGTATGATTTGATATAAGAAAACCAGTTCTGAATTTTTAAACTATTTTTTACACATGGAATTACATACAATACAAAATATTTTACAGATTGAAGTCTTTACATGTATGAGTACAATTACAGTAATGCAGGTAATTGTTCAATTACTTAAAGCAGAGTTATTTATCTTCATTGGGCTTAACGCAAGCCCAGAATGAATTATTTGCTTAAATTGCCTGCTAGGCTTTGAATTAAAAAAAGAAAGAAAAATTACTTTTAGCTCCTGTATAGCATGTCCAGATGATAAACAATGCCAAATTAAGTAGTCTGGTATGTCTATAAATGGGAGATTATATTCTAATAGCTCTTAAATCGTAAATCCTGAGGCCCAGGCCACACATGCCTATCAAATCGTCAGTATCTCAGCGTTCAGCAAGATGACATCATCTTTGGTAACAGGCTACCAACAAACAGAAACTATAGATTACACCATTTTTTCCAAAGAATCCTGTATTTTAATGAATAGCTGAATAAATAGACATTAATTATGAAATTCACATTAAGATAGAAGAAAATCCAAACATTCTGATTGCTTTACCTTTTAAATCTGATAGCTACTACAAAACATACGATTTATGTTAGGGTAAAACTAAGCTGCTTTACAGGAGTGTAACTGGGACAGGCTGTCGATATGTACAGTGACGTGGAGGTGCCAGGAGACAAGTTGTTCCTATGTACATTATTTGTCCTCTTTTTTGCATGAAGAAACACTGTTTTATAAAATGGGAAAACATACAGTAGACCACATGCAACAAGGATTAGTACAATGCCACAGCAGAATAATCAAATAAGACACATAACCTATAGATTTAATAAAGACTTTGGGAGCAGAAGAAAAAGAGAAAGGTATGAAACCTGGAATGCTTTCTTACTGAGGCTTCAGAATATAAATGTGTAAGAAGGCTCTTATAGTGCTGGAAATTCCCACTAGACCACCTATGGTTTAAGTGTAGAGCTAAAAATAAACCATCATATTATACAAAACTGTGTCTTAGCATACAAAAGGTAGCAATTTACTTTTTGTATAAAATATAACCTTTTGATAGTATATTTATTTCACATATGTATAAATATAGCCCAAAGAATATGCTTTAAGTATTTCTACCAAAATATTCTTTACAAAAGTTTACAAAATGAGTGATTTATTTATATTTACAAATTAGCACAGAAGAGACTCTGGGCCAGGGCCGTTGGCGCTGTGTAAAGGAAGGAGGCTGCCCCAACGCGTGGCAAAGGGGGCAGAGGGGCTTGGTGGCACGCTCAGCGTGTTTTCTTACTGAACGACTTGTTACAGACTTACTAAAAGGACTTTGGGTACATTACATTTGATTTGCCCAATTAAAAAGCTGAGGGTACCCTTTGCTCCCCCAGTACAGGAAAACGTTAGCGCCTGCTGCCGCCACCCCCCTCCCTCTGCACGTTCCCCACGCGGCGGGCCGACTGCGCGTGAGCACTGAGCACGCAGGACCCAACGCCCCTCCTTCTTCTGCGACAGCGACAGCCCCGCGAGGGCTGACGTCACCGTGACGTCACAGCAAGGGCGTACACGTCAGAAGGAGCCGACTGCGGCCGGCCGCAGGGTCCGCCCAGGTCCGAATCATAGCCCGAGAAGGACTGGCTTTTCTCTCTCCGTTATGCTTTCCCTTAAACTCTGTAAAATAGATTTGTGCCTGCCGCTCCTGTTTCCTACCTCCAGTCGCATCTGACGCTTTCTAATCGAAGTTTTGGTCTGCAGATTTCCTTCTCCTACAAGCCAGTCAGTGCCCATCACGGTAACCAGGGAGGACGAAGCTCGGCTTCTCTCCTCCGGGCACAGGCCAGTGGCCAGCCACTGAGCGACAGCGCCCGGGGTCTGTGGGGTCTGTGGGGTCTGTGGCCCAGCGGACCGCCTTTGTCGCGAAGGCCAGGCCTCTTTTAAAGTGAAATCTAATGCAGAGAAGCGCGCGGCAGCCTTCAGGGCGCTGAGGTCCGGGCTGCGTGGCAGGCCGCTTGGGCGCAGACCTGGAGACCTTCCCGATCCGAGGAAGCCCGAATGCGGCGGCGCGGTCCCGCGGTCTCACTTATCCCTAGTCTCAGCGTCGCTGAAGGGCAGAACGTGTGGGAAGCTGCAAGGACAGATACGGAGTCTAGGGGCAAATGTGGAACCCACCACAGTGGGGGCACGCTGGCTCTCGCTTACCTAGGACACTTCAGCTACATCAGACAAACCTATAATACTTTGTTCTATTTCGTAAGCTTTAGAAACTTAAGTGAAAAGTGGGGGAAAAATTAAACCACACGTATCTATAAAAAGAAAATTAAGGAATTTTTTTCCTGCATAGAACTAGTATTACTTTATGACATGGGGCTTACACAAGCTATAAGGTCTATTTTCTTTCAGAGAAAAAGTGTGGGAAGCCTATTTTACACAATTAATTATATACCAACATCACAGTTCTGTTTGGATAATATGTCCTGGGCTTATAGAGTAAAAAGCGATCCAATGTTTTATGTTAGGGTTTGAAATTTTTAAACAAGAACTTCAACCAGAATAGTCACCACTGAGTTACTTTCTGCATTCCACTCTGAAACCACAATATCTTCATGTAGTCTGCCTGGAGGCCATCGGTTTGGCCTTCACAGCGTGCTGTGAAACACTGCCTGTCAGCACTTGGGGGTCGGGAGCTGTCTCCCCTTTCTCCTTCAAGAGTTGCTCCCCAAGATCTCATCGAGGTTTATGTCTTTCATCCAGTCATCATTGCCAGGCTCTGTTTTCAGTAAGGAATCGATGAAGTCAGTATCACTGCTCAGGGCAGGGCCCACGGCGTCAGCCTGCGGGCCGAGGAAGTCGAAGGCCAGGTCGCTGCCATGCTCACCTCCTGGGAAAGCCCGGGCACTTCGGCTGGCCGAAGGGAAGTTGTTGGGTGTCAGGGACGGCGGCTGGCTTGGGCCAGTCCTTGTCTGACTCACACCAGCGCTTGACTGGTTCAGGTTAGACACGATCTGTGTGCTCAGCTGGCTCGGTCTGAGACCCAAGCCCCTGAGTGCACCCATGGTCTGTCCATTTAGTGTTTGGTTCACGGGTCTCATTTGCATGGCTGGTGCTAGCTGGCTCGGGGCGGCCACTGCCCTCTGGGAGAACTGCCGGCTACCTGACGCCTGCTGCAGTGGCTGGTTCTGGGTGTAGGCTGCAGGGGTGGTGGGGAAGTGCACCCCCGTGGACTTCAGCACTTCCTGCTGCTGCGCTGCCGCCTCTTGAGAGGCCCAGTTTGCTGCTGCGGTGTTGGGTGTGACAGCTACATTTGCTGTTCTCTGGCCCGGCAGGCTTGCCGTACCATGGCTTAAATTTGGCCTCAACTGTGGAGAGCTACCAGCAGACCCACTTCCAAAAGCGGCCGCACCGCTGCTGTTACTCGGCCCTAAGGCGGGTGGCCGAGGCATCAGAGGGTTGTTCGGATTTGTCACCAGCTGGTTCGGGTTCCTCTGCGGGGCCAGCTGATTCCTTCCTGCGGCGCCGCTGTAGCCGCCAGGCTGACTGCACGGCAGAGTTCCGTACAGCCCTATGTTCTGCACGGCTGTGGGCAAGGCAGGCATCCTGGCCCCGTGGGAAGTGGCCATGAGGCTGGAAGTGGGAGTGAAGATGCTGTGTGTTGAAACTGGGTTTGCCAAAGCCTGGCTAGAGTGCAAACTCACCGTGGATGAGCCGCCTAGGAAAGAAAAGAGAAAGACAGTCACTGAGAGCGGTAGCCTGCCTCTTCTCGTGGTCACCCACCCCGACTTGCCGACTCAGGCCGCGTTCAGGTACAGCCCGAGGGAATGAGCATCACTAAAGAAGTAAAGTCGGTCCAGGGGCAGCATCACACTACTGCCTGGGCACGGATAGCCTCAACACAGAAGAAAAGCCCATGGCAAGGGCGTCCTGGTCGGCTTTGCTTTATTCCTCCTCTGGAGTCACTGAGGAGAGCTGACAGTTACTCTTTCAGTTTGATTTACTGCACTCCCAGGCGAAAGAATACAGTTTTGATTTGCAGCTCTCAGGAAATGCGGCTACAATAAAATCGTGTTACTGCTTACCTGGGGCCCAAATAAGAAAGTGCAAACAAATCCAGTGTACGGCTGCAGACTGCTATTCCCAACCTGTGGCCTTGAAAATCGCACCCATTCCTCAGCGATCTCAGCCCGCCAAGCGGGTGGTGGCCCGGCCAGCGGGTGAAGGCTCATCCCTTGCAGCCCTGGCCTTCGCAGGGATCCACACCCTGGCTGCCATTCCTACACAGACGCCTTCTGCTGTGGGACACCTCAGGCCTGCTGTCACATTCTGAGGACACTGCAGGCCACTGTGCCAGGCCTCTCCCTCTGGATGTCTTTTTACTTCATTGAATTCGTTTTTCCTCCAGCTTGAGATCAGTGCTTATTTAATCGAGTCTCGTCTCTGGTAGCAATTTTCTCTTTAGTACACTCACTCAGCACTTAGGCCGTGCATGGAGCCCCGAAGCGCCTGCTGTCAAACTGGTGCCTGCCGCTGACTACTTGGATGTGGGACAGGGCCTGACCCTCAGCGTGCTGAGCAGGACAGCACCATGGCGCGGTGCTCGGCAATTCACTGGGATATTCCTGGCTTGGGGGGGGGGGCATTAGGGAAGCACCTTGAGAGGCAAACATAGAAGACAAAACAGTGCCTGACAGGTTAGGCATTTCTTTCTTTTTTCAATCTTTATATATTTGGTACAGGGTCTCTCTGTACAGCTCAGACTCATAGTGATCCTCCTGCTCAGCCTCCCCAGCACTGGGATTACAGGCATGAGTTACCCCACCCGGTTTTGGTGACTGGTGTGGCATGCACACCTTGTGACACCAGGGATTGAACCTGGGTCCTTCCTTTTGCAAGGCAGGCACTTAGACCACTGAGCTGTCTCCCCATCCCAGGTTAGGAATTTCTGCCTGCTTCCTGCGCTCTTTTATACCCTGTGCCTAGGAGATGGCACAAGTTGGTACTCATTTGATACGGTTTACATGAATGAATTAATAAGAAACTGAAGTGAAGCAAAAGTGGGAGAAGGATATTCTCATGAAATACTCTCCCTGAAGAAGGCAAGCAGGCCCAGAGAATCGGAAATACTGAAAAAAAAAGTGAGTTACAACACATATAAATATTGAAATTCAGTTGTGAGAAGTGTATGTTTGAAATCGTAAGTTCAGGATGCCCCTGCCATCTGAGGATACCTAGTATTATTATAGACAGCTAAGCTAGGCAAAATATTGTAGATAGTCAGGACTAGGCCCTCAGGGGAGTCAATACAGAGGAAGGGATCACATTAGAGCTGTGCCCAGAGGAACACTGTGGGAGGCCAGGCCTCAAAATAAAGACAAAATGAACAGGCCTACATGCCTCCCCAAGAGACACACAATAAATGAACATCGGTCACCCCAGTGGGTCACCCCAAGGTCCCCTGATTCATCTCTTCCTGAAGAGGTCCTTGGGAGCTGCTTCCCCACTAGACCAACATTACCTAAATGCTAAATTTGTCATCATCTTGGCTGATTTCCGTTTTGTCTCACATGGTACCCACTCTCTAAAGTGGAGTCTGCAGCGACCCATTTTCTGGGTCCCGTCCTGTCTCTCAGGAGTGCTCTCCTCCTGTCTGTCTCTCTGTCTTGTCTATTTCACCAGGGAGATAGCTCAGTAGAATAAGCGCTTGCCTGGCAAGCTCAAGGTCTGTCTTGTCTGTTTCTCAGTCTCTGTCTCTGTGTCTGTCT